CTCTTAGCACGGAGCCGCCGAGCAGCACGGTGAGAGGGGCTTCGGGCGCCGCCCCTGCCCCGTTGTCGCAAATGAGTGACTTTACACAATTTGATTTAGTAGCAGTTTAGAATTTATTTGTGCCTCACCGGCAAATCTCAGGATTGGATTGGGATATTGTAATACCACTCAGTCATCATTCAATTAACAAAGTGATTCGACAACATTTGCTTTAATTAAAACAGCTACTTAAAGATTCAAAACCGGCAAGGTTCACTCTGCTGCAGCATGGAAGAAGTACACAGAGGAAAATTAAGTTAGCTCGAGTTAGAATGATTCGCAGAGGATAAGGAGGACCCTCCCGTTGAGTCATGAGGTTCAGAGCGGACCCCCCTTGCTTTCTAAACGCCTTCTCAGAGAGGAGTCTGGGTACGGCTGGGTCCAATCTCAGTCTCAGACTTGGTGAATGGTTTATGTCTAAGGACAATATGTGTCTAGCAGCAGTCTAAGGTTTGTTCATTCTTTTAAGGTGGACCACAAGATTTTTAGCAGCACTTAGTCATTGACTAAATTAATGTTCACAGAGTGAGTCAACTTAAAATTGTGACAGGCCCACTTTGTAATTAAATCACACCCTGACAGATTACTTAAATCGATTTAGACATGCATACACACAGACACGATTATATTCATATATAATACATGTAAGGGTATATCTGTTAAAAATTCCCCTTGAGTTCAGTGAAATACGGCAAATGTCTTGGCATTTCTCAGCAAGCGAGGGTTGAGCCTCACAGGGTGAAGGGTTTCTGCCCAGGCTCCACCATCGCTCTGCGGCAGTGGACCTCACATTTTAGCAAACTTGAGAGTTCGTGAGCTCCGAGAGGCATCCTGCTCCGAGGGAGATAGCGGTCACCGTCCGCTGCGGTGCAGGAGAGCACAAAGGGCCTCACTTGGGAAGCGCTGTTTGTCGGGTCCTGAGGTGATTGCCTTTAGCCATCAGTACATTTGTGCCTGGGCCACAACCCGGTTGGTAATTACTGGACTCCAGTAACAACGGCACCGTTTCGCTCTGGTTGTGACCCAGGGTGAACGCTATGTTCCGAGGCTGTCAGGGGAGGACTGGCTGCTCCCGTTGTGCTCCCTGCCTTGACCACTCAACCGCTGTCTCTGGTACAGACGGTGCTGCTCCCCACCCCAGACGTGTAGGAGTTCCTGGTATGGTTAAGGGACGCTTGGCCGTCCAACTCCGTACACAGAGGCCAAGGGCCGGTGGGCGTTCCTGAGATGGCGAAGCGGTCCAGAAGGAAACGGGGGGGGGGGATGCACCTCCACGCCTGCTCCAGCGCCGTGTGCGCTCACTGCTGCTGCCGTGTCACACGTGCCACGGCGCCCCGGACACGGGCCGCGCCTGGCGGTGGGGGGAACGGGGTGCAGGGGGGG